ACTTATCATTCTACGGCAAGTGACATATCGTACTGGATTAGCAAAAGCTTCGAAAAGATGGGAAAGACGGCTAACTGGTTAACAGGATGCCACAACTCTTATGAAACTATGCCAATCTAATCGGAATTGCTCAGGAAACCAGTCGAAACACGCCACGCCTATAATACAGTAGTTCACCGGTATGTCACCGCGTACACGATATCGACGTAGAAGCAGTTGTGCGGATGCTCCTCGATACGTTCAAAGACAGTAGGCAAAAATGGAGCAGCAACTACCTGTTTTTCAGCAAAATGAATCCAGTCAAAATCTGGTACTTGTTACTATTAAAACACGGAACATTTTTTCAGTTCCGAATTCACAACGCAGTGAAAACAATGCGCGCCTTTTAACAGGCCCTCCTAGCAGTGTCACTCTCGCCGATATTTCCTACTCTACTTTGGAAGAAAAGCCTTGGTCTCGAGAGCTTGGTCTTGCCCATAAAGCCTATCCTCTATGGCCACTCCAGAGACGATATCCTCACGTTGCATATTAATCATACCTTCTTCCATAACAACCTTGGAAACTGCATCAACTTTCTGGATATCAGCAACCATACAAGATCAACCTAAAAGGTAAAGATCAGCATCGCACAGCCAATCTTAAAATATTAATCGCAATTCTCCGCCTTCAGTGACGCCACGAAAATTTGTAGGAGCTTTAGAGCCCTTTTATGTTAATAATGTACTGCCGCCAAATGAAATTAATTTTTGCCACACTTTTCATACGAATGGTCATCAACCCAGCAGTTCCTCCTGCCACGTGAAAGCCTGAAAGTAGCGCGAAAGCTCGTTTCAATAGGTTGAGGCAATGATGCTGCTCGCCACTCGACAGTGATATTTCTCCGCGACCAAATCCTGACAGTGTGCCCTACTTCTATGAATCCGTTGGGCTGGGTGAACGCTGGGGAGATGTTGTTAACAATACCCGAGAACTGGCACCCCGAGTGAACTGCCAAATGATTACTCGTTAATAACGATCAAAACGATCAAACAGAAACGGCAACCCAGAAAATAGGTGCAAACGAACGCGTCGGCCTGAACAACACCGAGGATTCGGTAAACCACAGGAAGCGATTGGCAAACGGACATGGAACGACTTTAAGATATTCGTGGCCACACGTAATGCAAGAACGCTATCGACAGATGCGCCTATCAACGACGTCTGTATCATGGAAATGGAAAAGATCAAGGCAGACATCAATGAAACATTAGAGACCCGAAGATCCACCGAACTTGTTGCGCAACGTAACAACGGTGACCAAGTTATCCACGCAGGAAGGCCTTCGAGAAACGAGCCCAGACCAACGACGTTGGTTATAATAGAAAGGGAGGCTGTACCATTTGTACTGAGCTGTGATATTATACCACATCGAATAACAATTGTACTTATACAGACGGACAAACGAAGAACGGTAAAGGTAATCCAAGCTTACAGCTAAATCCAACAAGCAGAAGAGATCGAGCAATTCTATGACGATTCGGCAAGAATAATGGAGAAAATAACAACCTATACGATTGCCGTACGAAGCCTCAATGCAGTGAGCAGGGAAAAAACGAAAAAGAACATCGCTTCGCAACTTCCGCTGAAAGCAACCACCTCCACGTCATGAACAAGGCTTTCCAGAAAGTTTTAAAGCCGCAGTGACATGGAGAAGCTCGGACGGAAATTCTTTGAACCAACTGGACTATGCACTGACTAACAAGAAACGAATAATATCAGACCTATCATATATAGGCAAGAACGTGACATGGAGAGACCACAGGCGTTTACGTTCCACAGTTACGATCGATGTCGCAAAAAAAGAACGGATTAAAAGAAGTTAGAGATCAGCGCATTTTTGAGAAATGCGATTCGATCCAGAGGCTTTCGCCCTAAAGCTGCCATTAATGAGGATTTAAATGAGCATTCGCGAGATTACAGTTGCGGATTATGACTATTTTGTAAACACCATCAAGACTGCCATTAAAACTTCATGCCGGACACCAAAGTCAACGAGAATCCAATGCGTCAGCTTTTCAATAAGGCCGCTAATAGCTAGAAGAAGGCCAACAGGAAACTGGACATTGTATGAACAGAGATAAGGAAGAAACTGGAGGAAGACTGTAAAGATTGCAGAAAAATTCCGTTAATCGAGGCTACTGAACGGAAGAAAAGTGTACAAGCGGTGTAACGAGATATTCGCCTAAAAGAACGGATTTCTAATGCGCTGAAAGACAAAAACGGATCAGGAACTACTAATCGGAATGGGTTGAACAGCCCGCCCTTTCACATAATTTTACTACAACCTGTGCTTCCCAAGTAGGTGTGAATCAGAAGTTGCCACATTTTGCCCCAGAAGCCGTTCCCGAAGTCACCTGAATCGAAGTTGAGTGGGCAATCAGAAACATTAAAAATGGTAAATGTCCTAGGAAAAACGATATAAGATCAGAACACATGAAAGCTGAACGAAAGATTTTGTTTAAAGCGCTCATCAAAAGTTTCACGCAATACATCAGAAAAAACAATACGCCGAAACCGTGGAAGACATCAAGAACTATTCTTCTCATGAAGCAAGGCGACTCCGAAGTCCTCAAGAACACTCCTGTTGCAAATCTAGTTTTCACCTGCATCAATTTCAGCTGTATTCAGAAGGACCTCGAATTAAACACAAGCTGGTTTCTATACACG